CTGCTATAAGACCCACAATGGGACGAAACAGCTGTCCAACGCTTCCAAGTTTTCGTCAGCAGTAGTTGAGCTTCATGTTCTCAATTATTAAAATTACTACAATATCCACAAAAACCTCTTCTGATAATAATTTCTTCATACAGAAAGTTTCTTTTATAGAAACGTTACAGACGATAAATAGTTTACTACTTAATTGGACTTTGGCTAAATGACAGTTGAAAATCAAAATGTATTTTCAAATTGAAGTCTTTCTGTTTCTCAGTGGTTGTTTTAACTAAAATCAGAGTTTAGTTAACAAAGGTGGATAGTGGCTAGTAGTGGAATCCAGTTTGATACGTGTTACATCCTATTTCGGACTCCTCATCTGAATGTACCTGTATCTCAGAGTTGATGTTCATTCTAGGACTCGAACCCAGCACCGTTCACTTCAAACATCATCCCGGTATCCACGTACCTATTGATTCTTGATAGTCTCTGGGTTTTTTGAGTCATTTTGAAGCAGAATGTTGTTTTTTAGAAGCTTGACATTGATGAAATGGAGTTGATTACGTCATTATGAAATAAGATTAAGATTGTTTTGTCTATTAGTGTATACTTTGAAAAGAACAACTTAGATCAATGGTTTATGGAACAAATGTAAACAAGGGGAAAAATGGTTTGCTCAGCGTTTTTTCCTTTAAGGGCTTATGTTTTTATATAATCACGAATCGATGTTAGTTTGATCATCATCAGAAACCTGAAGGTACTGGACGGATATTTTCTACTAGTTTGAAACTATTCAGTAGTGCTTATTCACGACCTAATCTTGTTGAATACGTTAGATAGTTATCCGAACGGTGATGTTTAAGCAATTAATCGAATTGATGAAAGTTAGACATTACCACCGTTTGGACGCGAGCTCAGTGATCCTGAGTTCGATTCCTAGATATGGTGTCGTAGATGTTCATTTCTGCTGAGTTCCATATGAAAGAGAAAGAGACCTTCATTGTTTCTATGTTTTCAATGGTAATCTAACATCAGTTCACTTTTTAAATCCTACAAAAAAAATACTGTCATCTCCACAAAATCATAACTTACATCGTTCTAACATGACGCTGATTGAATGATGAATGAAATATAAATGATGAACTGATGAATTTCAATTCAAACGTATAGTACTTAATAAGTGTATTAAAGTTATTGATTGACATTCTTTGTATGACTGGTGTATGAGTGTTGGTTACTTACTTACTTACTTACTTCTGCCAATTACTCCCAATGGAGCGTAGGCCGCCGACCAGCATTCTCCAACTCACTCTGTTCTGGGCCCTCCTTTCTAGTTCTATCCAATTTTTGTTCATTCTTCTCATGTCTGTCTTCATTTCTCAGCGTAATTTGTTCTTTGGTCATCCTCATTCTCCAACTCACTCTGTCCTGGGCCTTCCTTTCTAGTTCTATCCAATTTTTGTTCAATTTTCTCATTTCTGTTTCCATTTCTCGAAGTAATGTGTTCTTTGATCTTCCTATTCTCCTTTGGCCTTCAAGATTACAAGCTATGGCTTGCATTGTGAGGCAGTTGGGGTGTTTTCCTCAATATGAATCCTGTCCACTTTCAGCAATTTTTCCCGATTTCTTCCTCCGTTGGAATCTCGTTCGTTCTCTCCCACAGTGGGTTGTTGGTGATAATGTCTGGCCAACGGATCTGAAGTATTTAGCGTAGACAGCTGTTAATAAACACCTGTATCTTCTGGATGATGGCTTTCGTAGTTCTCCAAGTTTCTGCCCATACAGTAGAACTGTCTTGACATTTCTATTGAAGATGCTGACTTTGGTGTTGGTTGACAGTTGCTTTGAATTCCAGATGTTCCTCAGTTGTAAATATGCTGCTCTTGCTTTGCCGATCCGAGCCTTCACGTCTGCATCAGATCCACTGTGTACATCAATGATACTGTCCATATATGTAAAGGTTTTTACATCTTCCAAATCTTCTCTGTCAAGTGTGATTGGATTGGTGCATTCTGTGTTGTGTTGGAGAATCTTGCTTTTCCTTTTGTGTAAATTGAGACCTAGTTCTGCTGAGGCTGCTGCTACACTAGTCGTCTTCTCCTGCATTTGTTATTGCGTGTGCGATAGAAGAGCCAGATCAACTGCGAAGTGTAGATCATCCAGTTGCATCCTAGTTGTCCACTGTATCCTATACTTCCCCTTAGATGTTAACAGCTTCATAATCCTGTCAATCACTAGGTGACCAGCATTCTTCAACCCAATCTATCCTGAGCTTTCTTTTCTAGTTCTATCCAAATGTTGTTCATTATTCTCATGTCTCTGTCTCTCACTCTTTCTCGCCATTTCTCATCGTATTGAGTTCTTTAATCTTCCTGGTCTCCTATTTCTCCTTTAGCCTTGAGGATTCCAAATGACGGCTTGCCTTGTGACATTCACTGGTTCAAATTTCATACATAATATGGATTATATTGTTTGTCTTACATAATGAATTTAATCGTTTAAAAATTCAATTTTTGAGAGAAAAAAACAAAATTTTACTAATCAATAAAGATTGATTTTATGCAAATGAGAACAGTTGACGTAACTATAGTAACGGACAGAAGACTTAATCTCTTTGTGCTTATCCGTTGTCATAGTGAACTACAGAGGGTTTATAAATGGATATGGATATGGATGGATGGATAGATAAATAATGAGATGTATTTTATGATTGAAGATTAATTAAAACAATTTAATGTCTACCCTTTTCGAAGTATCGATTGAGTATAATATTTATGCAATGATTTATCTTATCAGAATGGCGGTTTTATGAAGATTGTAATCATTTATAATCGTTGAATTCATGAGTCGGTTAAAGCTAAAGTGCCATAGACAACCTAGAAGCACTGGATGACTGTCTCGTCCTAGTGTGAAACTCCACGACTCCGCATGTGGGACTCAAACCTCGGAGCATCGGTCACCTGAGAGCATGATATGGCCGTTTCGTCCTGTTGTGGGACTCCTCAACAGTGAGAATCCACGACTCCGCATGTGGGACTCAAACTCAGGACCTTCGGTCACCTGAGAGTATTCTATGGCGGTTTCGTCATAGTATGGGATTTCTCAACAGTGTACTCTCAAGATCCCACATGTAGGATACGAACCCAGAACTTTCAGTGTTAATGTTGAACTTCAACTCATCCACGATATTACACGTTCGTCAATCATTGTCTTTAGTGATTAACTGCCTCTATAACACACAAGACTACTCACTAGAACTTCAGGAAATACCTTATGAAGTCAGTCACTAGTAAGTACATACAAGAACGAAATGACCACTTCCATGTTTTTTTTTCTATGATGATCTGTTTAACTTTAATCAATTCATAAAACTTATTCATTTATTCAATTATAAATAAATTAGACTTTGAACTGATTAGTTTTTTTGTTGTTGAGTAAACAAATGAACAAACTACATTTTATCAAATACATCAATTCAATTTTGTTTTAATAATTAAAATGAATCATTCTATTGTCAATTCAAAATACATGAGTATTATGATAATAAACGATAAAAATTATCATTCTATGAACGACCTTTGAACAACACTAACGTGACCTTGAGAATGTCTACTCACCTATTAGATAGATATGTGCCACATAAATCATTCAGATTGTGTAAGAGCTGGAATACTGCCTGAGTGCCTTAACCGAAGCAGGTGGTTTCCTTAAGAGGCTACACTTGAAGCTTTAGACTTAAAGGTCCGATCTATAAGGAAGTGGAGCAACGTCAAGAGATGAAATTCCATAGTAGTCGGTGGCCAGTAATTGGTTCATGCACCATTTGTTCCCTTAAGATCTTGGAACCCTTGTGCACCATTGATTTGGAACTAGGGTTCTCCAACTCCCCTAGGTAGATGCTCCGTATCCACCGACCCGATTAATACGTCGGACATTCTCTTTTCGTCTTTTCAATCTCGTAAACAACATCCCCTCATGGGAAGGTAGTGATTAGGACTTCCCTGTCAATAGTTGTATGCACTTGGCCATGTGAGAGCATTTGGAGATGGAGATCTGACTCTTCCCACTCTCGGCCATACCAGGGCCGAGATAAATCAATTAATGGAGCCTAATTATAAGTATTATTGAGAGAAGATAAACCCGTCTCACCTTACTTCTTGTCTTTTACTGAAACAAATCCATTAGAAGAGCCCCAAGATTGATTGAATTATAGATCAGCGCTTAAAATCTGAGTGAGAGAAATAGCTCAAGATTTACTAAGTTATTTTTAAAACTCAACTTTTCTTCAGAATTAGAGCACTCAAGTATTCTGATAAGTGATGTAAATTAAACTATTAAAATAGTTGAAATCATGGGTCATTTGAAGCTAGACCACCATGGAAAACCTGAAAGCACTGAATGGCCGTTTCGTCCTAATATGGGACGCCTCAGCAACACGCATCTACGATCCCGTTCTCCGCGAGATTCGAACCCAGGACCTATCAGTCTCGCAATTAAAAGCTTAGCCTCTAGACCACTGATCTGGCATCCAGTGGTAATAACGTCTAACTCCAAGCAATCCACGAAAGTGAGTAACACATTCTGCATTGTTCTGGTTTCGAATTTCCCAGGGGGGTGCGATCGTGTAAGAACACTGATGAGGTGTCCCATATTAGGAGGAAACGGCCTTACAGTGCTTCCAGGTTTTCCATGATGGTCTAGCTTCAACTGATTCATAATTTAAACTAGTGAAATTTCTAAAATCTCCACAAAACCCCTTCTGACAACCAAAAAGCTTAAACGACAAAACTCAAACTTAGTTTCTGAATGTTATATTCTCATAAAAGTCAATATGAGCACCGATTGTGTGAGTATCATTTATTACATAACAGATATCCTATTCTATTTCTATTATTATATATGGCATTATATAGCGTTAGTTGTATTGACAAAATCTATCTGAAATACTTCATTTGAATAAACTTTACACTTGGATCAGATTTATTGACATTCTGTTTCTAATTTGATCATTTTAGTTACCTAATTCAATTATGGAAGCAAATGCTGGATTTAAACATGAAATTTCAATTGGATCATCAACAAGACAATCAACTGAAGAAGAACTTGCATGGGGTGTAGATACACGTATTACAGTACCACCAAGACATTCTGCTTTCGCTGAAGTAAGTTAGTTTGTTTATATATATACATGTATACATGTTGGATTATTTCTTACCGACTAAATCAATATTACTACCATGGTGAATGCTACTTATATTTACAGATATAAGTAGTATGTAACACCGATCAAAGGAAGGTTGAGAAGATTAAACTGAATAAAACAGAAAGGAAAACATAAAGGAATTGAGAATCAGAGGGTTGTAAAGGACAAACTGATGGGAGGGTGTACAAATGGAGTAGATGGTGTATAGTTTTTATAGTTTAAGAAGATACTCTGTAATTTTATATTAACCAATAAATTGGTTCCCCCCATGTAAGTTTCAGTTCACTACACTTCTACTGTTACCATCAAACTTTTTTGTTGGTTGACACAAGTCAGTGTTCCACGTACAACAAAAGTACCTTAAAGATTACTGTTTCGCCTTACTGAAGAGTATTAACAAGGATGAAAACCAGGTCTAGCTGAGTTTTCTTCTGAAAACTTCCTATAGACAATTTAAAATTGTCCAATGTTCCTTAAGATTTTAGTGACATAAAATGTTTAGATTCACTAACATGGCTTTTAGGGGTAATAGATCAGGAATTCTGTTTGGCTTATGAGTTTTGTGCTAGTTGACACTCATCAACGTGGTTTTACAGACCCCTATAAAGTGGTAACTAATTTAAAAGTTGAGATCATGAGTCAATGGAAACTAGACCACCATAGAAAACTTGAAAGCGTTGGACGGCCGTTTCGTGGATTGATTGAAGTTATACATTAACACTATCGGATGACGGCTAGCTCAATGCGAGACCGATAGGTCCTGGGTTCGAATCCTGTGAGGTAGGATCGTAGATGCACACCGCGGAGGAGTCCCACAATAGAACGAAACGGTCATCCAGTGCTTCCAGATTTTCAATGGTGTTCTAGCATCAATCAGTTCATGATCTCAATCAAAAACTTAACAATCTCCATAACCCCATGCTCAGTAGTGACTAGCTTCATGAGGTGATTCTCCGAGTTCTAGTGAGAGGCCGTGACCAGCGGAGGTAATCTGAGTCAGGTAGATACAGATATCTACTTCAGACAATGTAAGATGACCACGTAATTTCTTGGATTGGTTGAAGTTTGACATTAAAACCATTGGATGTCGACCAGCTCAGTGTTCTAGGGGTTAAATGGGAGGTCATGGGTCCAAATTTCGAGTGAGGGATCGTAATTGCACATTGCTGAGGATTTCTATAATGGGACAACACATCCATCCAAAGCTTCTAGGTTCTTATTAGTAGTCTAACACTGATCAATTTATGATCTCGATCAGAAACTTGAAAAATTTCCACACAATTCCATACTGATAAACATCTCTGATTGTTTATGACTAATTCCATGCACTTTGAGATCCAGTGCTTTTTTCATAATGACTGACAATAATCTTAAATGATAAATCTGTACAAAACAAAAATCTAAGTGCAAACTACCTCCATATTTGGATTGTATAAGGTTTAGTACAATTTTGTTTACTTTATTGTATCTTCATAGAGATAAGGTCAGTACAATCAAAAATGTTTATCGAAAAATCGATATTGGGATAGGTTTCTTTTGTTTATGCATGTGAAAATCAATACTAATCACCGTTTATTTGTGACCTACATTCAATATCATAGAGAAATAATGGTCTTACTATTAATCTAATACTAATCCATATATGCTCACTAATGATTGGCTTCAAAGTGTATATCCTGAAGTTCTAGCGAGAAGCAGTGACCATTGGAGTTTAACCGGGTTAGTTGTAAGATAGTCGCTCAATTTTGTGGATTAGTTGAAGTTAGACATTAAAACCATTGGATGCCAACTCAGTGATCTATAGGTCCTGAATTCGAATCTCGCGCGCTGCTAAAGAGTCCCACGATAGAACGAAACAGATGTGTAATGCTTCCAGGTTTTCCATGGTTGTCTGGTTTCAACTGACTCATGATCGTAACTATTGTAATTTGAATAACTTCACAGTTTATAAGTAATAATTTATTATTTTGAATTCAGTAGTCATTATTTGGAATACTTACTTACACATGTTACCCTTCCTGGAGGACTATAGGATGTCCACCAGCATTGTCTGCCCAACTCTATCCTGGGCAGTCTTTCCCAGTTCTTTCCAGTTGTTATTCATTCTTTTCATGTCTGCTTCCAATTCTCGACCCAATGTGTTCTTTGGTTTACCCCTTCTTCTTTTCCCTTCAGGTTCTAAGTTAGATTTTACTTCATGATGCAGTCTGGTAATTTCCGTAATCGATATCCTCTTATCCTCCGGCGTCTTGATTTCCTCTTTAGACAGAAACTGGTTTGTTCTCTTCTATGGTAGGTTGTTCCTGATGGTGTCCGATCAACGGACATTGAGTATCTTGTGTAGGCAATTGTTTATAAATACTTGTACTGTTTTGATGATGGTTGTAACAGTTCTTCAAGTTTCAGATGCGTACAGTAGAACTATCTTAATGTTCATAGTAAAGGTTCTCACTTTGGCGTTGGTTAACAGTTATTTTGAGTTCTACATGTTCTTCAACTGTGGAAATGTCGACCTTGTTTTCCCGATCCTTAGCATTACATCCGCATCAGATCCTCATTGTTCAACGATGATATTACCGAGGTACGTGAGCGATTTCACCTCTTCCAAAGTTTTTCCATCAAATGTGATTTGGTTGGTGTTCTCCGTGTTGTATTGGAGGATGTCACCCTTCCCCTTGTGTATGTTGAGGGCTACTTCTACAGAGACTGCTGCTACCCTGTTTGTTGTCACCTGTATTTGATGATGTGAATGGGATAGAAGAGTTAGGTGATCTGCGAAGTCCAAATCGTCTAGTTGCATCCAAGCTGCCCATTTTATTCCATGCTTCCCCTTAGATACTGAGGTGTTCATAATCTAGTCAACCACCAGAAGAAAGAGAAAGGGAGAGAGTAAGCAACGTCGTCTGAAACCGGTCCTCACTTGGAAGTGTGTGTCAGCTGTTCTCCATGCACATCTTTGCAGTGTGGTCCGTCATATGAATTCCGTATGATGTTGTCGATCTTCTCGGATACACCATAGTGTCGAACAAGGTCCTATAAGGTCGTTCTATCCACATTATAAAACAATTTTTCATAGTCAAAGAAGTTGGAGTATGATGACGAGTTCCATTCAATCAATTGCTCAACAATGATCTATACTGTCGCGATTTCGTCGATACAGAATCAATCCTCACGGAATCCAGTTTATGTATCTCGAAGTTGATTGTCTAGTGAATCTTTCATCCAGCTCAGCAACACTCTGTCGAAAATCTTTCCTGGTACCGATAGTAATGTGATGCTTTTGTAGTTGACTTCTCACATTTACTCAGTTATTCTTTCTTTAGTATCTTTGTGAGGTATCCTTCTTTCCAGTATGTCGGCCCCTGTTATTTGGAATACAGATGACAATATTTATTCATTTGATTTGTGGGTTCACAAAGTTAATGAATTTCTAATGTTAATGATACAACTTATTCATTTCTTTAAGTCCTTCGACGAGACTATAATTTATCACGTATTAGTTAACAGGTCTCGGCTTTTGGCGCTAAATTCATTCATCCATTTGGCTAAATAGAGTCTTGGCATTATAGCTGATATCAGTTCGTGATGAAAACCCTTAATGTAATTCATAACTTTGACCATCAACTGTTAATCACAGTTCGAAGTCCTCACACTGGTTTATAACTCTCATTTAGTCCTGATTATTAGGTGAACACTCTCCAGGTCAGTCTAGCGTCGCTCAAAGGTTGTCCATAAATTATTGTCTCACTCAAATTTACTTTTAGGGTTTCGTGTGATCTTGATCTTCCAAAACTTTCCGTAAACATCATTATCAGAAACGTGATCCTTCATATTTCAAGATGTTTCTGAAAAGGTTTTATTCACTGCTAAGTAGATAAAACATTCCTTAGAGTCTAATGAGCTCCTAATGAGTTTGATAAGGGATAGATTTGAACTTCTCAAATAATAATAATTAACCTTCACATTAGTGAGATGAAATATGGTAGTTAACATTTCTAACTTCAATCAATTCACGATTTTACTAAGATTAAAATCTATCAATCCTCACTAACTCCTGTTTCAGCAAACCGTCGTGTAATTAACTGGTGACTAACATAGAGAGGTAAGTTGGATCTATTTTAACTTGTGGCCCTGTACTCTATTAATCTATATGACATAATGATACCGCCAATTAGAGTACAGTGATTTATTGACCGGACCAATGATGAGCAGCCTCGAATCATTATGAGTCCTTCTTCTCACCCACTCCTGCCTGCCTGTTAAGTCCAGAACACCAATCTCAGCCTCTGCAATATGAATCATTTATTTCAAACATATTGGGTTTATATACACACTAAACAGACCACATTGTACCATAAACTGGAAAATACACATTTGTACAAGATCTAGCCGAAAGTAGCTTTGAATGTGGGAGATAGAAATTGATAAACTGGGCCTAACTCAAGAACGGTCAATCGTATCATAATAGTTTACAGGTCAAAATACAGCTTATATATATATATATCGTAGAGGTCCATAAATGAAAACTGATAGTTACCATTCACTATTCTCGACGGAATATAAAAGAATCCGCTGTCGAAGCTGAAATAAATATCAGCTATACTTGTTCATTATCAAGAGTTATCTGAAGTTAAAAATGTCGACCACCGAATGTTAACTCAATCACTTGAAGATGAAACACTTTCAATGAAACTTCATTACACTAAATTCTATTCCTTTTACGATTATGAGTGGTTGTTCTCAGCTGTAGAGTCCCATTGATTTCAATGTTTTATCATCCAATCTTCATTATTTCTAATGAATATGGGTCATGTTCTTCATCTATTATGAAATTAATCATCTCCAGTTATTAAGTACTTACATATGTAAACGTAAATAACACACTGCTTATACTTTTACTACATCTACCATTATGGGATTTGAATCGGCAATTGTATCTTTGTGCCAATATGTTGCTAAGTACAAATAATCATTAACTTGTTCATTGAGTATGATATTTATATCAATAATGGTTAAGGATAGATATCCCTTTCACTTTTTAATAGTTGAATTCATGAATCGATCAATGTTAGAAATCTGGAAGCACTGGATGGCAGTTTCTCTATAGCATGGGATTCCTCAGCAGTGCGCATCCATGATCCCTTATGTAGGACTCGAACCCAGGACTTTCAGTCACGTGGGCGAACGTTTAACCTCTAGACCACTTAACCGGCTTCTGATGGTGTTAATATCTAACTTCAATCAATCCATGAAATTAAACGAACGTCCACCATTGTCTTCAGTGAGTAACTGTCTTATAATGGCCACAGGTAAACTCCACTGATTTTTGTGGCCCTGACTCCAGTAATATCGTATGACTGATGGTTATATTGAAATAAGTTTCAAATACATATATTTCATATAATCGTTGATTCAGATAAACGACCAGAGTAACAAAGCGAAGAGAAGAGAGCGAAGCGAAATGAAACGCAATGGCGAAGACCTATGAGCCAATTTGTTTTAATCAAACGTTAATCGATATTTATAGCCGAACAAAAATAAGTTACAGGCATATGATGAGTAAGATAAGATAATGTAAACACACATATGTTTACATAAAAACAGTTAAGGTTGATAAGCCAATAATTAATAAAGTCAAAATGTAACTTGAGAAGAATAGATAAATCGGTTTGTCCAGAAGGTAGAATAAACTATAGTAGGTTCGACATAAGACAAACCGCTACTACATGGTCATGGCTACGGTTATTCACTAGAAGTCCAGGATGCACATCTTGGAGCCGATCAATAGTGAGCACATGATGATTATTATCAGAATGAAGGTTTTTTTGGAAATTTTAGTAATTTATTAATTGGATTCATGAGTTGACCTAAGCTAAACTAACATGAGCCCCCAAATGCTCTGATATGGCCGGGAGTTGGAAGAGTTCGCTCTCCCTTTCGAAATGCTCTCACGTGGTCACGCGTATATAGCTTCTGCCAAGAGAGTCCTACTCACTGCCTTCTCTAGATGAGGGTGTCCTGCATGAAATTGAGAGTACGAGAAGCAAATATCCGACAGGAGCTTAAACAGGGTTGGTGGACACGGGGAGTCCACCTAGAAAAGTTGGAAAACCCTCATTTCAAACCAATGGTGCACATGAGTTCCAGTATCCTGAAGGAACAAATGGGGTATGAACCAATCGTTGGTCATCAGTTACCATGGGATTGTATCTATTTACGTTGCTCAACTGCCTTGTGGATCAGACCTTCTGGTCAAAGGCTTTGAGTGTGGCCCTCTAAGGAAACCACCTGTTTCGGTTTGGGCACTCGGACAGTATCACAGCCCTCACACAAATCAGATGAGATTTCTGTGGTGCATATATATCTGGTGCCTTCTTGTACCAATATCTTTATGTTCAAATAAATAATAATAATACTTGACTACCATGAAACACCTGTTGGCATCGAACGACATTTTCGTCCTAGTATGGGACTACAATTTCTACAAACTCTTATTTTTATTGAAAACTGAGTAGCTCTAGATCACTGTTTTGTTTTTATTTGAAGTTCTACCATATTTAGTGCCCATTGTTTAGTTTTTATTTTGGAATTGATTAATGTAATCAATGAGTACATGTACCTTATCTAACTCGTTAGACTCAACAAATCATCATTCATCATTGACTTTTCCTTGTTGATTATTCCTTACTTACTTACTTGCGCCTGTTACTCCAAATGGAATATAGGCCACCGACCAGCATTCTCCAACTCACTCTGTCCTAGGCCTTCTTTTCTAGTTCTATCCAGTTGTTGCTCATTCTTGTCATGTCTGTATCCATTTCTCGAAGTGATGTGTTCTTTAATCTTCTTCTTCTTCTTCTCCTTTGGCCTTGAGGACTCCATATGAGTGCTCGTCTTGTGACGTAGTTAGGTGCTTTCCTCAATGTGTATCCTATCCACTTCCAATGGTTCTTCCGGATTTCTCCGCCTGGGCCCCCTATGGGGCTACTGCCGGTTCGAAACCCGGATAAAGGAGGAGGGTTTGGCGCGGGGTTAACGACTCCACCCCGTAGGAAACTAACTCGCTAAACAAAATGCTAGCCAGAAAAAATAATTGTGTTTCCTTTATGGAGATTAATCACAGTACTCGCGACAAAGTTGAGAGCACCAATGAATTTTTTTAGTGTTTATTTAATGGATGAAAGCTGGATAAAAGAGTGTATTTTTATTAGGGATTTCATTCCAAATAGCTGAATATATCATCATTTGCCTACTATGAACGTGTTCGATGAAGTACATCTGGACATGAAGGATCTAAATCATAAATCTAGTAAGCATTGGTGCTTCAAATGATACAAACAAGTACAAATGATCAGAATGGGGGTTTTGTTGAGATTTTAGTAATTTGATTAATTGAATTCATAAATTACTTGAAGCTAAACCATCATGGAAAACCTGGAAGCATTGGACAACTGTTTGGTCTCAGTATGAAACTCCTCCACAGTGCTCATCTATGACCCCGACCGCAGGATTCGAACCCGGGACCTATTAAAAAACAATTTTCTACTATGACATGAATCAAAAGATTGATTGAAGGTGTATGGTACGACTAACTATGCGAACATTAAAAACACTGTGTGTATGACATTAACCTCCGATAACCACTATCTAAACTTTGAAGTCGTATTCGTGTACAAAACAGTTCATCAAAGTTTGTTATTTAGTGTCCAATTTAATTAACTTTTTTTTCAAATCAGAAGGGTTCTTGTGGACATTATAGTAATTTCCTGTAGTTCTAATGAAAAGCCATGACCACTGAAGTTCAATCGAGTTTGTTGTGAGATAGTAACTCACTGAAGACAGTAGTGGATGTATCGCTGAATTTCATGGATTAGTTGAAGTTATACATTAACACCATTGGATGCTAGCTCAGTAGTTTAGAGGTTAAGCGTTCGCGCGTGAAACTGAAAGGTGCTCGTTTCGAATCTCTCGATGCAGCATTTGGGATACACATTGCCGAGGAGTCCCACAATAGGACAAAACGGCAGTCCAATGCTTCTAGGTTTACCATAATGATCTAACTTCAATTAACTCATGTTATGCCCTTGGTCTGTCTACCTACTCTTGGTGCTGAGGATACTTATCTAATCCTGATTAAGACCTTGACGCGATAGGCTGACCGACCTCACCTTGAGGCTAGTACGAGTGAGTTCGAGGTAGGGTAGAGAGAGAAGAAAACTATTCTATCACCTGATTGGTTGACAACCACACGAATGAGAGAAGACAAGACAACTGGAACACTACTCGATCTATTCCTGGTATCCTGATTTCCGATTAGTGTAAAAAAGTACATGAATAAATAGGTGACTAACCCGACCACAATGTACAATAATTACGAAAAATACAATCATGTTCAAAACTGGGAATTAAAGTAGAAAATAAGGTGCAAAATGTTATGTTTAAATGACAATAGATTCGGAACAGAAAAGGGGTATGACAATGAATCATACATCGAATGAAAGCTCATGTTCTGTAGAATAGAATAGGGACAAAAATAAATGTCCGAGTTTTACAAGCTTTGAATAAAATGAAATAACGTCCCGAAAAATAACTTTCATAGTTTGTCAGGGCTTCCTGTTTCTCTGTTCACATCAACTCATGATCTCAACCAAAATAGATCCTGAGTTCGAATCTCTCAATGTGGCCTTATGGATACACACTGTCGAGGAGTCCCACAATAGAACAAAACAATCGTCCATGCTCATGATCTCAACCAATAGATCCTGAGTTCGAATCTCTCAATGTGGCCTTATGGATACACACTGTCGAGGAGTCCCACAATAGAACATAAACAATCGTCCAATGCTTCTAATTTTCTCATGATCTCAACCAAAATAGATCCTGAGTTCGAATCTCTCATGTGGCCTTTGGATACACACTGTCGAGGAGTCCCACAATAGAACATAAACAATCGTCCAATCATGATCTCAACCAAAATAGATCCTGAGTTCGAATCTCTCATGTGGCCTTTGGATACACACTGTCGAGGAGTCCCACAATAGAACATAAACAATCGTCCAATGCTTCTAATTTTCCATGATCTCAACCAAAATAGATCCTGAGTTCGAATCTCTCAATGTGGCCTTATGGATACACACTGTCGAGGAGTCCCACAATAGAACATAAACAATCGTCCAATGCTTCTAACTTTTCCATGATGATTCAACACCAACTAACTCATGATCTCAATAATTGAAATTAGTTTTTGTTGTTATTGTTGTTGTTGTTGTTTATTTTAGGTAAAAATTGAAGAAGAAGAAATGAATTGTTGTTTTCGTTTAAAAACATCAATGTATGGACGAATACGAATATTATTCTTAGATCCAATACATGATAATACATTAATTAAATATCTTGAAGGTGACTTCGGTACAATTATACAAGAATCATTAAAATCTGATCGTTTTAAACAAAATAATCATGAACAAAATTCTTATTTATGGACTGAATCAATGGCAAATTCAAATCAACGTATATTTTATATAGAAACATGTGGAAAATGTAAATTTCGTTTTGGTGTACATCAATTTGTTGAAGTTAATCAAAAAGTACATTTAGAAAATAATTATAATAATAATAACTGATAGTTGCTATGGCAACTATCAGTTTAAACAATATATTATAGGATACTATTATTTTGATCAAAGAAAAACAAAAATTGAATTCAAGTGCATTTCAAATGATCCTTTTAACAATCTATTTGATCCCATATGTATAAAGATCATTGATATTTTTATTCATGTGTTCATTTTCCTTTACAATTTAATATAGTTTGTTTATTTATTTATTTAAACACATAAACATTGGGATAAGGGGGCACCAGTAATATATGCGTCACATAAATCTTATTTGATTTGTGTGCGGGCTGGGATACTGCCCGGGTGCCCAAACCGAAGCAGGTGGTTATCTTAGGTGGCCACACCCCAAGCCTTTGACCTTAAGGTTTGATCCACAAGGCAGTTGAGCATCGTGAGGAGATGCATTCCTATGGTAGCCAGTGACCAACGATTGGTTCGTGTGCCATTTGTACCCTCAGGATGCTGGAGCTCATGTGCACCATTGGTTTGAGATCTAGTTAAAGCGTGGGACATTCGCTTTTCGTCCTCTCAATTTCGTAAACAGCACATCCGCCACGAGATGGCAATGAGTAGGACTTCTGTTGCAGAGGCTGTATACGAGTGGCTAAGTGAGAGCCATACCAGGGCATTTTGGGGCTAATTTTTCCTGAAGCAGAAAGAAGTACCACGCCAGTTGATAGTCAATGGAACTTATACCTGTATATCATCGGTAATGTTCAACTTAAGTTATAAATCTAATATATATATCATTGAAAGATTTGTAGCTGTTTTACTATTGATCCAACTTGAGTAGGAAGAAGTATATCAATGGAGTTGTAGAGATTATTAAGTTTTTGATTGAGATTATGGAATGATTCATGTTAGATCATCATTGAAAACCTGGATGTACTGGATGGTTGTTTCGTTCCACAGCATTGTGCATCCACGATTCCGCTCCGATAGATTCGAACCTAGGACCTATCGGTGTTGCATGCGAACAGTGAATTCTAGATCACTGGACTGAGTGGAATCCAACGGTATTAATGTGCTCACCGGTGATTAGCTTGGTGAGGGAATACTTGGAGTTCTGGTGAGAAGCTGTGACCAGTGGAGCTAATCCATGTCAGGTAGAGATGGGTTTCTACTTTCACAAGCCCATTGATGTGTTTTATTCAAGTTGAATCGTTAGTAAACATATGCGAATCTTTACTGGTCACAGCTTCTCACTAGAACTCCGAGAATTCCCTCATGAAGTCAGTCAGTGGTGAGCACATGGTAATTATCAGTATGGGGTTGTGGAGATCATTAAGTTTTTGATTGAGATCATGAACTGATTGATGTTAGACCACCATTGAAAACCTGTAAGCACTGGATGACCGTTTCATTCTATTGTGGAACTCCTCAGCATTGCGCATCTACGATCTTACCTCACGATATTCGAGTCCAGGTCCTACGGTCTGGAACGCAAACGGTTAAACTCTAGACCACTGAGCTGGCCGGCACCTAGTGGTGTTAATGTCTGACTTCAACCAATCCGCGAAACTGCGCGATCATCTTCCATTGTACTAAGGTAGATACCTGTCTCTACTCGACATGGATTAGCTCCACTGGTCACGGTTTCTTATTAGATCTCCGAGAATTCCCTCACAAACCTAATCAGTATGGGGAAACAATTGAGCTTAAATTTATTTTTACACACAAGTCATCAAAACCACAAAATTACATGCTAATAAAGATTTCCAAACTAAAACCTTGTATATTAGATATGTTATCAGTTCAAGAAGAAACATTGATTAAACATTTCGAAGTGTTTGATGGAGAGATAATAAACTTATTGAAATAATTCCATCAACACTAAGAATTAGACAAATATGAAACTTCATTGAACCATCAATGAGTTTAAGTTAAAGCACTTTTGAAAACGTGGAAGCACTGAACCTCTAGAAATGTTTTAGTATGGAACCAATCAGGAAAGTGAATCTATGATCTCTTACCTAGAAATTCAACCCCGGAAATACGGTCTCGTGCATGGACGCTTAATTTCTAGATCAACAAGTCAGCATCCAAACAGTGAGAAAGTTTAGCATCAAGCAACTCATTATATTTCACAAGCCTTACAAGATTGCCTACTTGGGATAATTGTGTTATACCAGACAAAGCTAAGTCTTGGATTCACACTGTTGAATACTTTCAGACAAGGATGAAACGGTCATCCAATGCTTCCAGGTTCTCCATGATGACCTAGCGTCAATTGATTCGTGATCTTAACTAGTGAAAAGAAAATTAGTTTGAGTAGGCCACCATGTCAATAGATTCTTTATAATCAGAATGGGTTTTGTGGAGATTTTTTAGAAATTCCACTGGTTGAAATCATGATTCCATTGAAGCTAGACCACCATGGGAAACCTGAGAGCACTGGACAGCCGTTTCGTCCTAAAGTGACACTCCTCAGAAGCGCGCATCCACGATCCCGCCCCCCTGCGAGATTCGAACTCAGGACCTATCAGTCCCGCGCCAGGCGCTTAACCAACTAGACCACTGAGGCGGCATCTGACGGTGTTAGTGTCTAACTTCAACAAATCCACGAAGTTGCGCCATCGTACACCATTGTCTTCAGTGAGTTAACTTCTCACAACAGACCTGGTTGAACTTTACGGGTAACAACTTCTCACTAGAACTCCAGGAGTATCTCCTGGTTCGAATCTCACAAGGGGGCGGGATCGTGGATGCGAACTGCTGAGGAGTCCCTTACTGGGACGAAACGGCCGTCCAGTGCTTCCATGTTTTCTGTGGTGATCTAGCTTCAATTGACTCACGATTTCAACCAGTGAAGATTCTTTATTGTTTAAATTAATCAATACGATATATGGTCAAATGTTGTTACATTTAAGAAAATTGAGACATTTATTGTTTAAAGAATGTATCCAAATGGAAATCAATATTAACGTCTTATTGTTTATGTACAGTTATCGTAGACAACTAGAAAAGAAAAAAAACAATATAAATGAAAAATTTAGAGAAAAATCACAAAATATTCATTACTAATCAAAGATGAATGGTGAGTAGAATTGGAGTCCAGTTTGATACGTGTTTCGTCCTATCTGGGACTCATCAATTGGATGTACCTGCATCCAACAGTTGATATTCACTCTGAAACTCGAAACTAGTATAATTCGCTTCAAACATCATCACGTTATCCAATAAGCCATTGAGTCCTGATAGCCACCTTCTTGTGCAATGGGGTGAAGTTTAAATTCATTTGGTATTGTTTGATATGAATCTCCACACTGTTGTTTTAGGACTGTAATTGATCAGTCTCTTGTTGGTATATGTACATCCTGTGCGTATTGCCTTGATATAGTCTTGAGTCACTAGCTTTTCAAGCAAAAATGGATAGTGGCTAGTAGTGTAATCCACGATGCGCGTTTCACTCTATAGAGACTGACCAATCGCAGTTTTAAACGTCAAAAATGAATTAAAACTTAACCTCATTGCACAAACTACTGGCTATCTGGACTGAGTAGCTTAGTGGATATGTGGTGTATGCTAAGTATATCGACATAAGTAGTACATAATACCAATCAGAAGTGGAATGTCTAGCAGCAGAAAATTGGGAAGTTCGAATCGAACAGAATGGGGACAGACAGTAATTTTTATGGTGATGAAGGAACGATGAAGTTTGAGATAATTAATGAAAGGTTTCCAAATGATGTATTGAACATATGGTTTTCATATTATACCAAATAACTCTGTAATTTTGTATTCAAACACAATTGGTTGTATCCACCTATGTTCTCATTCATCATAGATAACACATTGACATTTGAAGGGAACAGTACTGAGTTCAAGTCTCGGAGTGAATATCAATTCTGAGATGTAGGTACATCTAACTGACGAGTCTGAAATGGGACGAAACGCGCATATTGAGGCATCCACACAGGATGCACTTACCAACAAGAGACTAGTAAGCTGTTGCCCCTAGTCAACAATGAGAAGATTCAAGCAAATGACAATGCCACTAATTATTATAAACCATGGAAATTACATTTCGAAATTAACCACTAATAACCATTTTCATAAAGTCTATAAGCTTCATTTTTGTTGTTGTTGTTGTATCTATTCAATAACATAATTTTTATTTTAAAATTGACTTGTGTAATATGATATCACACAAAAAAATACAAATAAATATGTCCAAGACAAATTGAGATAGAAATTAACTCTCCCCCCTCTCTCTCTTACACTCCCCCTCTCTCTCGTCGACATTATCCATTTACCCGACAACAACAACAACAAAAAAAACCCTGTAACAATTTTACATATTCGATTGTATAAATAACTGAATATGAATGTGAGTCTGTGTGTATATGTGCATGGTTACGTTGTTTTATGACGTTTGTTTGAATATAACGGTGTGTTGTTGTTTGTTTGTTTACGGTTAAAAAATTGTTTGTATTCACTTTAATAATAAATAAATAAACAAAAAACAAACAAATAAATAATCACTGAAACTCATTCAAAGTTCACTTGTATTATGCTGAACGACAATACGAATGAGGACAATCAAATACAATCGAATGAGATATGATAGAGTAACTTGATAGGGTCTGAGAATCAAACGGTGAATACTTCATTTGTAAAATATTAATCAATTGTCTAAGATTTTATTGTTCTTTCGTTTCCACACCAATCAATCTCTATTCTTCGATCTTCTTAACCTTCTGTTGCCATGTATTACACTTTGTGATATACATACTACTTATATGTCGAATCAGTAGCAATCAATTGTCTAAGATTTTATTGTTCTTTCGTTTCCACACCAATCAATCTCTATTCTTCGATCTTCTTAACCTTCTGTTGCCATGTATTACACTTTTGATTAGTGGTACATACTACTTATATCTGTCGACATCAGTAGCATGTACCATAGTATTATCTTTAAGATTGAATAGACCATTATCAGTCATTGAAAAATATTTATACAATGTTTAAGAATAAAGAGTAGTAGAGCAAACAATCGTTTTCGATAACTTCTACATTAAGCTTTACACAGTTATAAATCTAAATTTATTATTTTGTCGATTGTATAATAAAAAATGATAATTGTGTAGAGAGGCTGATGGAGAAGATATCGAAAAAGATGGTTCGCTCTCGTACTTTAAACATCACCCAGTGATCAATTAATTATGATTACATTTCAGTTCTACAGGAGGTCATTTGCGGTCTGTATAGCTCAGTGGTAA